ATGTATTTTGCTTTGGAACACGTTTTGCAGTTAGCGGTGATTTCTGCCGCTACTTGGCCCATTTTGGGGAAAAGGACCTGTTTTATGAATGAAGGTAGCTCGCAGTGGATTGCATTGACGACATCAATTTTTACTAAATCTTTTAGTGAGCGAAGCAATGTTGTGCTGTCTGTAAATCGCATAATGTGACGCATTTTGGATTTAAAAAGGATGATTGACTATAGTCGGGAAACCCGCCTGTTCGATCACTATTTGGTTCCTGAAACAGTTTACAGGTTTTTCCGTTGACTCTATAGTGTAGGTCAACGACTCCTCGCTGTGGATAGTAGCGATGTCGGAGTGTGTATCGTTATCTAAAGCATTTACGTTTTGCCGCGACAAGGCGTCGGCTACGTGGTTTTCTTTACACGGCTTGTAGAACACTTGTGCGTTATGTTCATCAACAAACGCTTTCCACCTTTTGAGCCTGGGATTCGGATTTTTATCCGACATTGAACCGGTCAGTGGTTGATGGTCGGTGAAGATGTTTAACTTCTTTACGCCATATAAATAGATTCTGAGATTTTGAAGTGCCTATGCTATTGCTAGTAGTTCTCGTTCATTTGTTGCCATTGAAATCTCGGTTCCGCGTAACGTGCGAGAAATCATGGTGATCGGACAACCTTTCTGTGAAAGAACAGTCCCTAGGCCGCTTCCAGAGGCGTCAGGGGTCAAGTCAAGGCTGGGTGAAATCTGGGTGAAATCTGACATCCTCAGACTCCAGGATGTTTCCTAATTTTTCGAATGATTTTTGCTGCTCGTTGGTCAGTTTAAGTTTGACTTTATTTGAGTGGATTGCACCAATTTTTCCGTTGTCACCTTTTAGAATATTCGTCAGAGGTCTTGCGATGCTAGCAAACCCCTTTAATAATAACTGGTCAATCACAAAAATGACCTGAGACTGAACAATGTGGATGGAGGTTGTTACTCTTTTATAGCCTTAACCTTCTCAGGTGAAGTTCCCCCACGGGACACTGTGAATCCCAAATATTCTACGTTCTCTTTAAAGAACTTAGATTTTTCTACAGACACTCTCATGCCTGCATCGCACACAGTTTTTAGAACCGCGTTTATATCATTGACCAGACTCTTTATTTTATAAACATAGCAAGTTTTATTGACGTGTTCTCTCAGAACGTCATCTATAACCCGTTGGAAAATTCGGGTGGCATTTTTTAATCCAAAGGGAAGCCTGCAGAATTCATACTTCCCGTTGTTAACCGAAAAAGCTGTCTTTTCTCGATCGCGCTCCCCGAGTTCAATTTGATGAAAGCCCGAATTCAGATCAAGAGTCGTGAAGTACTGAGCTTTTCCAATGTTCGACAGTATGGTCGATATGGATGGTATAGGATACTTGTCATCGATTGTTTTCTGATTCAGTTTCCTGAAGTCTATAACGAGACGTTTCTTCCTATGACCTTCTTCGTCAAAACCCTTCTTATCAACAACCCAAATTGGGTTATTGTAAGGCGACCGGGATGGCTATTATTATTCTGCTAGGAGTTGTTAAACCTCCGTATTGACGAAATCGGCTACACCCATCGGGTATGGGTAAAGTTTTGAATATACGGGTTCCCCGTCAGTGCGAATCGTGGCGACCGTATTTATGTTAAAGGGGAAGGACTCCTTTGGGTCCGCAAAGGATTCGCTGACGGCGTTTGGGACGTCCACGTCATCGATTTTAATAAAGTTTACATTTCTGCATTTTGAGTAAAAAATTGGCTCTGAACCATAATCATGCTCAATGATGTTTTTTCTTAGATCGATTTTTGCGTCATATCCGTTCAGGTTGTTTAACAAGAAGAAGTATGACTTAACATTGAATATACTTTTGTTCTATTTTTGTATGACCATGGATTGGCGTGACTTTAAATGGTGTTTCCACCGGTTTGAGGTGTTTTAATTCTGATAGAGGTCATATGTAATTTTTGGAGGCTCCTGTATCCAACAGTAACCTTATTTCCCGCCCCGCTGTCTTACGAATTATGTACGGGAGCAGGGACGTTCCCCTAAAAAATTACATGCTTCGGAATCGGACGTGTTATCTGCCTTGATTTCCGCTGTTTCGTAGGATGACTTTACTCTATACTCGTGGTCATTTGACTGCCCTTGAGTCGTATAGTTCAACCGTTGACGACTGCGAGTTGTCTGCTCGTCCCTGAATTTAGAACGTGATGTGGGATCGACGTCCATTGGTTCAGGGCCTAGGTTTTGCGCATACCCTTTTCGAGGATTATTTATTGCTCTGTTGCGTTTGGCCTTTATTTCCTAGGTTTTTAGAAAATTGAGAGCTTTAAGCTTAATTACTAGTGCCCGGTGCATTATTGTTTTGGTTTCTCTGAAAAGCACCCATGGAGTTGTGGTGTTATGAAAACGGTTACCCTGGCGACGGTATTCCGAATTGTAAGATATTTCTTCTACATTTTTATTAAAGCTCGCATCGAACCAGGCTCGTTCATTGCAAGACTCCGCCCGTTGAGCCACGGCTAATGTTGATGGCAAATCTTTGGAGCGTCCTGCCGAGATCTATTATTTAAGATAGCGGCAGTATTTGTGTCATAAGACAACAAAGTCTTACTAATAATAAGAGTTAGCTTTTTCTCAATCTCATTATAAAAGGTCATTAGGGGGAGTTCTCCCTGAGGCATAGTAACCATTTCCTGCTGGGTTACCTCGATTGGAGTTTCTTCTGCATATGCGCAGTCCATTCTAGCTATTATAACATCGAAATTTAGTATTGTATTTTGTGAAGAAGCATTACTCCCGCGGTACCTATTACCTTGTTACGTATGATTCCTACGGCCTAATAGGTTTTAGAACTACCCAAATATGGCTTGTAGATTTCGTAGGCGTTAACTGTCACGGTTCGCCATGCGACATACTCATCTTGTTTGCCGTCAAAAATTGGTATGGACTTCACTAAGTCTAGTGGTTCATTACAAGGGATAGCTGCGTTGTGTGGTATTTGCTCGAATACTACTAAGGGTCCACCCTCATTTATTCTCTGTCTATTTTTAACCTCTTTAAGCTTGTCTTAGAATATTTTTTGTTGGTGCTCTAGTGCGCCATTTACGACCGCTTCTCATGGAATTACATCTTTATTACTAAAGGTACTTAAAGATTTTGCCTGTTCTTGTGTTAGTGTTGCCTCTTACTGGAGGTCCTGAGGTTGATTTTGGAAATCTTGATCGTTAACCATTTTTACTTTGTCCGTAAAGCAAACCCCTTGCTGCTTACTATTTCTTATGTCTTTAAAGCTATGTATAATATTAAGTCGTCGTCACTGTCGTTGTTTTCGTTACTGTTTCTATACATCGGGGGGCAATGATACGTTTAAGATTTTTTATTTTATAATTTGTATGAAAAAACTTTTTTTTCCAGGAAAGTCTTTAATTATTATTATTTTTTTAAATTAAATCAGTCTTTTTATTTGTTTTATTTCTTTATTTATTATGCGTAATTTTTTTTTTTTTAAATGGCACATATGTCCGTTTGACGTTAAAAGAGATAAATTGAAAATAAAGATCACACTTACATGTTATATTGGTATATTAAAATGCTAAGATGGTAGCCGGTTGATGTTTGTCCTCTGGATTTTGTTCTTGGTATGTAGCGGTTTTCACTGCTGCTGTGTAGCGTTGTTGTTATTTACTGTTGTTGTCCAGTGCGTGAATCCGAAGTGTTTTTAAAGAAAACCCGATCACGGGACCTTGATTACAAGGCCTTTTTATTACGGATTTTACTTTATTGCGACACTTAAGCGTGTTGGGCGCCTATTAAACCAGTTAGGTTTGTATTATTTTATTAGAACCAACTACTCTTTATTCTGGTCCGTTACGAAATAATTACAAATCAAATTTATTTATAAATTCGTGTTAACTTATATATAGTGAAATGTTTATGTTTTATTCAGTCGACATAATGTCCCGTCAGTTGACGGAAATCGCTAAGAATAAAAATAACTTGGAGAAATAGTTTTCACGTCTTTATTTCTTTGATCTCAGTTTAAGACTAAATTCTTGTGGCAATAATCGCATTTGTGCTGCCCTTTTGTTTACATTATTTCAGGAGCACGATCGCCCGCCTAGCATATTGATTGTAAATTAAAGATAAAGATAACAAGAAGATAATTGAAGTTTTAAGGGGTCGCTTAGGGAGAGCGGCGTCGCTTGCTCCTTACATTGTTTGCACACTCTTCGAACAGTACTAAACATGTGAATATATAAAATTGATTCAATTGTGTTATTAAATATTACAATAATCATCGAATCGAATAGTCACGGGAAAGTCCAAATTCAAATTAAAAATGGACCACGCTATTGTTAGAATGATAAAGTTTTCATGCGACTTTGTTTTCGTTTTGGTGAATTAGCACCAATTCAGTGAACAAAAAATCAAATAGAAACAACGAAAACGTTGAATTTTGGTCTAGAAATGTTATTGTTAAACAAATTAGCTGCATTAACAATTTTATTGTAATAAATCGCGTGATTTTGTTTTTAAATATGGCGCTATAAACAAAGTTTTAATAAAATTGAAGAGCATAAAAATATTGCTTTAAACATATCAGGCTAAGCTAAATCTATACGTTTTGGAATAAAAGGTCAGATATTTATTCATATATATTAGAACACATCCCGATTGAAGTCAATTCTTTTGAAGAGAATATAGAAGGTATTTTTATTTTAGGAAGGAGAATTTCAGGTATTTGTAGCTTTTTTGATACGCATGTATCCTCTTTTGCTCTAGGTATTTGCTAGCAAGTGGAAATATGGCACCCGACTTAGAAAGATTTAAGGTTACTTATATGGTTAAAATGGGAATAGCATATAAGATAAGATGCCATATAAGCGCTAAATACTGCTAGTTCCTTATATACAATTTCGTAGGCTGTACTATTTCCCTTTGTTTATTTTTTTTTTACCACCTGTCGACCAATTGGCCGAGCTCGGCCAAACAAGATGGAAGCAAACACGAAGCAGCTGGCGGAGCAGTTGGCGGTTGCGAAGATGACGGCTTTGCTGGAAGTTTTCTTGAAGGGGAAGGCGAAGGATGTGGCGTTCCCAGTCGCATCGGATGCGGACTTGGTAGCTTTAGATCAAAAAATAAGATCAGGGTCTAAGGAACGCTACGTATGTAAAGTATTTACAGTCTAAATGATAGTGAAATTTATTCTGTTTCAATTTTATTATCTTTTAGATTGAAGCGGCAACAGAACTTCTTAAGTGCAACAATTTGCCAAAGGCAAAGAAGACCGTTCGTATGCGATCCTGTGCGCATACAATATAGACGGCCTTAACGGAAAGAAGGCCCTTAAAGTTCAAAATTCTTCTCAGTTTTGGTATGTTATTTGTGATTTTGCAGATAGCAATGGTTCGTTGGAAGGCCAGCAGCCAGCGAAGAAGGGCCTGGCTCACACACTTACATGTGTGAAAAATAACGCAATCAAAAAAAAGAAAAAAATCTATATAAATTAAGAAAATAAATAAAAATAAAAGTCCGACAATTGCATATGTACATTGTTTTTTCGATTTTTAAGCTTGCAACATTATGTCGGATGCCATAAATATTTTTTATACGCCAATTAAATCATTATGTAACTCTTGGGTTCCGATCCGTTTATTTCTAACAGGAGGTTGGTTTAATAAAGAGTTGATACACTCAATGATCTCATTATATCTTTTCTAAATATTTAAGTGCTCAGTAAATTCAAGTTCGCACAGGATCCGGGCATATTCTTGCTATTATTTCTCTCCTATCCCGGAACGCTATACCTCATACATTTGACCTTTCTTCCCCTTTAATAAGGGTGTACGCAGGGCGACGCAGTGTATACACCCATCTAACTTTCCTCTTTCGCCACTATATTTGGGAATAATATCATCCAGGTCTTTTAGCTGGATTGCTTCTAATACGCTTGCCCTGGTTGTTGTTCCCTGCTTTTCCTCTCTTTCATGTGTGGCTGTTATTTGTTGTGTGTACTTGGAAAATTGCAGTGGATTTAATCTAGGGTTATGGCTTATTACTATAATTATTATTAATAATAATTAAATTTATAATTGAAAAATGTTGATTTCCGTGTGAAATTCCTTGTCGTGGATCCTCGAGTATGCGTGTGTGAAATGGAGTTCGTAATGTAACTTTTCGAATTTTATAATTTCAATAAGCGAAATGTGTTTTTTTAATTACTCGTTGCTTGTTTCGATATTTATTATTATTTCTCATTTAGTTGGTTCAGTCATAGTCCTGCGGTATCCCCTAATAATAATAATAATAATAATAATAATAATAATAATAATAATAATAATAATAATAATAATAATAATAATAATAATAATATATAATAATAATAAGAAGAAGAAGAAGAAGAAGAAGAAGAAGAAGAAGAAGAAGAAGAAGAAGAAGAAGAAGAAGAAGAAGAAGAAGAAGAAGAAGAAGAAGAAGAAGAAGAAGAAGAAGAAGAAGAAGAAGAAGAAGAAGAAGAAGAAGAAGAAGAAGAAGAAGAAGAAGAAGAAGAAGAAGAAGAAGAAGAAGAAGAAGAAGAAGAAGAAGAAGAAGAAGAAGAAGAAGAAGAAGAAGAAGAAGAAGAAGAAGAAGAAGAAGAAGAAGAAGAAGAAGAAGAAGAAGAAGAAGAAGAAGAAGAAGAAGAAGAAGAAGAAGAAGAAGAAGAAGAAGAAGAAGAAGAAAAGAAGAAGAAGAAGAATAAGAAGAAGAAGAAGAATAATAAGAAGAATAAGAAATAATAAGAATAATAAAGAATAATAATAATAATAATAAGAATAAATAATAAGAATAATAAGAAGAATAAGAATAATAATAATAATAATAAGAATAATAATAATAATAATAATAATAATAATAATAATAATAATAATAATAATAATAATAATAATAATAATAATAATAATAATAATAATAATAATAATAATAATAATAATAATAATAATAATAATAATAATAATAATAATAATAATAATAATAATATTCGGTGCGAAGCGCTTGCAGTGCCCCACAGCTGGACTCTGTAAGTCCAGATCGGCTTGAGAATAGCCTTGCAGACGAGCAGCTTTTCTCGCAGTTTGGATTTTTTTTCAATGTGCCAGTGGAGTTGTTTGAAGCGTATGTTGGCCTGGATACGCTTTTTTTTTGAAATGAGGGCCCCATGTGAGCCTTCGGTCCAGGGTTAGCCCTAGATATTTGTGGGTGCTGGTGATTGGGATGGTTTCACCGTCGAGTGTAACGGGGGGACATTCTCCTCTGTGTAGCGAAAATGTTGCTTGGGAGGATTTATCCGCGTTCACCAAAATGTTCCAAAGTTTCAGCCATGGATCCAGAGCATCCAGTTGTCTCTGGATGATGGCTGATGCTTCTTTTGGGTTTGTTGCGGTGGCAAGGAACGCGGTGTCCTCTGTGAGGTTACGGGAGGGTATGATTGGGAGGTCTGCTGTGAACAGGGTGTAGAGAATGGGTCCCAGGACGCTGCCTTCAGGTACTCCGGCTCGTCTGGGCCTTGGCGTGCTGGTGCTAGGAACCGCATCGCCCTGGAGGGCGAAGTGGGAACTGGGAAGATGGGACTTAAGCTTGGATAGGAGTCCAGGGTGACACACTTTGTCAAACGCCTGTTTGACATTTAGGAAGGCGGCACAACAGTATTACTTGAAAGCGTCCAGAGCGTGCTACTGGCCGGTGACAACTGTTAAAGATGTCAGCCAACAACTGGGAACAGCGAAGGTGCAGTATTGTAGCAGGGATGCAGCATCGATGCGATCCATGCCTGGTGACTTGCTGGTTTTTAGGGAAGCGATCTCCTGCGCAACCTCTTCTGGGGTGACGGGCTCTATTGGCAGGCTAGGAAGACTTGGACTGTCTGCACCTGGTGGTGGCCGCACGCTCTTGACTAGTACATCTGCCGAAAGGGGTGAAAACATTGTGAAGGAGGAGGATTGGCAAATTCGGCAGCATTGTGCATCTCCTTGATGAGTGTCATGATCGCCGCATCAATGTTGCTTGGAGTGGAAAGAGGGGGATTTGGGTTCAGGGAGGACAGCATCCAGAATGTGAACCACAGCACGTGGCTGCTGCTGTGTTAAAAAATCTGATCCGACAAGAGCGCGATGTAGTCAACAGAGATTACACGCAAACACGAGTGTGCGTTACTATTAGTAACAACGGTTGGGCTCTCGGGCTGAGTCAATCAAAATTAGAAATGTGAATATACATATATATAATATATATATTTTTTTTTTTTTTTTTTTTTTACAGGTTTGACATATACTATATATTTATTCCTTTATATTTATATTATTAATATAAATATAAATATATAAATATTATATTAATATATATAATATATAATATAATATATATAATATAATATATAATATATATAATATAAATATATTATATATATTAATTATATTATACATATTAATATAATATTTATATATTATATATAATATATTATATATATATAATATATATATATATATATAATAAAATATTTATAATTAATATATTTATATATATTATATTATATTAATATATATATTATAATTAATATATATAATATATTTATATAATAAATAAATATACATATAGTGACATATGTAATGCCCAACCACATAACATATATCTACAACATATACCAGCCACTTTATATATTCTCTTAGCAACAATAGAACATAGAACCAAGAATGCCTTAGCACATAAGAACCCCAACTTTTTGGTGACAATAACAAATTCGGCCGATGTAAACAATTTAACATAAACATCCGCAGTCTTATTCGTTATTCCCACTAGAAGGGTGAAAACTGCTTACAAAGCTTAAAGGGTCAAAACTTTCCACGTAACTCAAGCTCGGCAGATCTGTATCCATGCGCAATCCACTCAAGAGAGCGCCTAATTAACGTTAACATAAATGAGAGCCTATGTACGCTTAATATGAAGAAGTAAATAAGCTCAGCCAAGGGTTTGCTAAGCGTTCGCTTTGCAAATTAGATTTAGATTTTATTCATACTTCAATTGTGTAAGACGTGAATTTGTCTCCGACGTTCGCTTAAGTTTTTGATTAATAAAAATATTTTTTCTTATAAACCAACAAACTGCGGTAGGATCCGAGTGTGAACATAATCTCTTAGATCTAATAGATTAGTTCGCAGCTCGTGGCAAACAAAGTTTCGTTTGTGCTTCAGTTTATACAAAGCAGATCCGCAAAAGAATCTATGTGACAAAATATTTGTGAATAGTTATCTAACTCTCGATGTTGGATACTATTAATACAAATTAAAAACTGCAAGTGACCATTAAAGCGTGATCCACCAAAATAAATAAAAGGTGTGACTGTTACCAGGTCAGTGTAGCCCATCTAACATTGATTGGACCGCTACGAAGGTGTGTGAATCTTAAAATTAAAAAAAAAAAAAAATAAAAACCCCGGTATTAACCTACCGAGTGATTCAAAAGCAAAAATCAACAATAGCCAACAACATGGCACAACCCAGTGAACAAATTATGATTCTATCCGAGCTACATTTGAATCAGGCTTTGGGCCAGATTCGCAACATCCCAACATTTGACGGTTCTACAAGAGAACTGGCATCATTTGTGAGACGTGTGGACTTCGTGATGTCCCTATACCCGACTACAGACAAGAGGCAACATAGTGTACTCTACAGTGCCATCGAGATGCAGCTGTCCCGACACGCACAAGAAGTGTCCCAGCTACAACAGTGCAACACTTGGGCTGAACTGCGATCAGTCCTCATTGATGAATTCAAAACCCAAATCCCATACGAAGAGCTGCTAAGAAGACTTTACAACACGTACTGGAGTGGTAGTATTCGTAAGTTTGTAGAAGAACTAGAAAATAAGATGTTCGAAATTTCAAGTAAATTATCACTAGAAAATAATTATACAAATACAACTCTTTATACCGCCGCAATGGCTAATACTATAAAAGATGTAATTTATAAAAGAATTCCAGACAGAATGTTCATGACTTTAGCAAGATACGATATTACAACAACAACATTATTAAGACAAGTAGCGCAAAGGGAAGGCCTTTACGATACAATTGTATCAAATACAGAAAAAGTTAAAGCTAAATCAAACAGTCCATCTACATCACAAAGCAGTAGTAAAAATAATGATTCTCAAAAGAATAAAGGAAATAATAATGACCAAGGTACAAAACCTTATTATATTCAAACACAGCAAAATCAAAATCAAAATAATTATGCAAGTAATAATTCAAAAAGGGTTGAAAATAACCAAGCGACATACAGTGAGTTCAAACAAATGTTAGACCAAGGTAGAGCACAAAACGCTCTAAATTATCAAAAACCCACATCTTAATTTTAATCAACTTGCCTCGGGATCGGAATCAGAAGTAGAAGAAGAAGAACCTACCCTTTCATACAAATAACTATGAACGATATCAAACTCAAATGTTTGATTGACAAAGGTTCATCAATAAATAAATGAGTAAAAATTTTTTCAATTGTCCGA